ACACTTCTAGAAGGTAGATTTTAAAGAGCCTATCTTCTATAGAGCCTTAGATACTTTATTTAGTAACAACCTAGATACTAGAGCAAGCTCTAAAGGCTACATCTTTAAGCTATATAGATTACCTGTAGATTAGAAAGCTATAAAATAACGAACAGTAACTAAATTAACAACTAAGGCAGAGCTTCTAGCGCTTTTAAAGACAGCTTTAGAAATAAAGTAGTAGAACCTGCTTTTCTACTACCTAAAGCTAAACCTTAATATTAAACTAAAGCTTTAGTGCAATAATTAGTAGACTATAAGTATAGTAACTAAGGCTATAAAAAAGCTTTAGACAAAGCTTAAATACGTTAACGTACACTAAATATAGCTCTGCTAGAAAGTTAAGAACTAAAGAATTAACGTTAAATAGATTTCTATAGGTTAAATACTAGCTAATAGACTTATAAAGATTCTATTACCTTAAAAACACGCCTACTTTATTTAATAGCTAGGGCTTAAGGATATTTCTAGTAAGTTAAAGCTTCCGCTATTCTTAGTAGAGTAGCAGAAGCTGCCTAAGAACCTCTTACGCTAGTACTAGATTAGATAGCAAACCTAACTAGAGCAACACATGCCTAATTCGCTAGTATTTTAGAACCTCTAAGGCAACTATTTACCCTTATTTTGCTTCTAGCTCTACTACAGGAGCGCCTACTATACTTATTTAACTGTTTTCTATTAATTTTAACGCATATATATACTAGTTTTATACGTAATTCTATTATATCTTAACTAGCTACGTTTATTATAATCTATTAGATTAACTATAAAATTAACAGGCTACATTTATTATAACAAGTCTAGTCTTAATAAAATACGCAGCAACGTGTTAACGTCTACTTAACAAACTACTCTATAAAGTTACTATAAGCTATAGAGGGCCGCGGTAACTATAAAAATACCCTAAAAGCTATTAAATAAGGTGTTCTTTCTTTTTTACTCTCTACTCTTAAGTTTAATTTACGCCTTTAATATTACTCTATCTCTTTTTGCCTACGGGGGAGCTATAGGGGTTAGTAGTGTAGAGGTGTTATACTATTACTTAAACACTTAAACGCTCTACTATCTAAACCTAACCTCTAGAACCTATATTAGACTTTCTAATTAGAAATAGGTATAGCCTTATATATAGATCTCTTATCTCTCTACTTTCTACACTTCTCTTTTAACTCTACAGGGTCCTCTTATAAGGGGGGTAGCTCTTATAGAACACTATAGCACTAAGGGGTATATTTATAAGAGACAATTATTAATTACCTTTTTAGGTATAGTTAAAAGCCTTACCTTCTTAGACAGCTTTCTGTATACACTTTAAGCTAGAGAGGTGTGTTGCTAGATATAGTTACTACTTTACATAACCTGGTTATGTATATATATAGCTATATTTCTCGTATTCTTAATTAATTAACTTATGTCTTAATACTCTGCAATTCACCTAACATAATTCTTAGTTATCTCTTAGAAAGCTCTCACAAAGCTCTTAGATTACATAATATTTTATTTATTTAGTTTTGTCTACTCTCTAATTTCTAGGTATAAACTTCATGTGTAGCCCTTCTTGCTTCACGAACCACCTATTCAACGTTAGTTTTCATATGTCAAAGCACGATGCCCAAGTGTAGATAACTAACCAGCAATGCTGCTCAGGCTCATTCTCCGGATCGGCGAGCTCGATGTCGAAACGCATGAACAGCGATGGTACCAGCTTTGTTATTTCTATCCAGCTCAGATCTGTGATAGTATTAGTCATGATATCTAACGATTGGTGTTCGCTAAGTGAAGAGGCATACTTCTTCCCAGGCACATTCGCGCACCAGCTCCAAAAGCAAAGAAGAAGCGGTCTATGATGTACCAATTAGCCGCAATTCTAGGTTCATCAAACAAATAGTGAGCGTACCTAGTTGCCCTCGATCACCATCCAACCACCTTTCCGGACGGAAGGTCTCGCAGTCGTTCCCAAAGATCTCCTTCTGTCTATGGATAACCCAAGGATTCGCTCCAATAATCGTCTGCACACATCATCAGCGCACAATACTCCCATATCTCATATCAGAAAGAGGTGTAGGAAGGACTTACACCGCCCGGCAAGAATCGCCCTTCCACCTCAAACCCCTCTGGCGGCACCACCCTCGGCAAGCTCATCCCAACAGCCGGATGAATCCTCAGCGCCTCGTATATGCATGCCTGTAGGTATGGCATCGCAAAACCGGTGTTGAATGGCATATTCTTCGCCTCATCTAGTCCCTCACGCTTGACGGTCGCTTCGATCTCTTGCATCAACATCTTTTTACACCGCGGATATTTGCAGAGATTGTATAAAACGGCCCCGATCGAGATTCCAGTAGTGTCGCTTCCGGCGAAGATATTGGAGGACGCCATACTCAACACACTGGTATCATCAAAATCTTGCCCCTTAGTCTCTCGGACTTGCATCAAGCTCGACAATATATCCTTCCTATCACTTCCCCTTCCCGTCCTAGCGTCACATTCCCTAGCAGCGAAATGCCGCAAGGTTCCGTTGCGATTATTGACGCCCAGCCAGTTTCCAATAAGCGGCATGAAGAAATCGTGAAGCCAGTACAGCCAGGGTACTTGACCAATCCAGGATGCTGAGAAGAGAGCAGAATCGATGGCGGCGAAGGAACCGTCATCCTGGCCCGCGGAGAGGAAACCGAAGCGGCGGGAGAATGTGACTTCGCCGATGACATCTGGTTCGCTTATCAGCCGCAGTTCGAGTCTGAATGTGAAGGGGTGAACAGGGAAGGGGATGGATGGAGAGGAATGGGGATGTGTCACCGAAAGCGAACATCTGCGCCCACTTGCTCATATCGATTGGTTGAGATTTGGTGACTTCGCGAAGCCGATCAAGGAACAGAGTGATTGTCATGTCAACATATGGCTCCAACTTTTTCAGCTGGTCCATGCTGTATATGTTACTAATAAGCCTGCGATGTTGTCCGTGGATTTTCTCATCCCTGCCTCCAAACAAATCGAACTTCCGATGGCCCTGCCACACGGAGTACCAATCGCTTTTCCGGAACTTGGTGCCGGCGCCGTAAATGACTTTGATTGAGGAGGGGTCGGAGATGGAGACTTCGTTAGGGGCGGTTCGGACGAGGTGGCCATGTTTGGCGTGCAAATCGATCATGGTGGTGTGCATATCGCCGGCGCGGCTATGATGTACCATCCATAATCGCGACAAACGTGCCCAGAACGGTCCAGGAATGCCGGCTAAGGGATCGCGGAGGAAAGTGTACGTGATGAAGGTGGCGAGGAGCGCGAGGGCGATGGATATGAGGTTCTCCATGTTATAGCAAAACTAGCACGCTATTCCCTCATGTTCTGAAGAAAACCTTCAAGAGCAATCCAACAAATATCAAATGTCTATGGGTTGATGTCTATGGGTTGTCGGTAAGTGTTGATGTTAGAATTGCCGGAATGCGGGGAACACGCGCCATTCCGAAAGTTGTTAAGCTCGGCCGAAGTGACCCAAGCCCCTGTCGGTTGTCGGCTAAGGGTCGTGATCGTAGACTAAGAGTACTGCCGATCTGCAGTGTGAAGTCCATTAGCGGGATAATATTTACCGTCAAGTGTGCGGATAGCAGGACGGTTCCGAAAGATTCCCGCAATGAGGCTTGGTTGAGTGCACGATCATGAATCTACAACACGGGGTGGTAGACATGTTCGAGGGTATGTCGCCCACAATGTGTTGGTGGTTGGTTGGTTGGTTGGTTGGTTGGTTGGTTGGTTGGTTGGTTGGTTGGTTGGTTGGTTGGAATTGATTTACGTCCAGTACTATAGTATATAGGAGCCTCTTGTTGGGTATTAGGGACGGACTAAGCACGGCTTAGGGGCTGTAAAAGCGGTTTGTGTTTTAGCTGCTCTCTATAAAGAGAGCCAGTCGGCTCCTAATCCTCCGTGATGTTGGTGGTTGCACGTGGTGAATGGCTACATTTTCCACAGAATAACATAGCATGCTTATTCGGTATCAGTCTCAGATAAACATCTACCGAGCGTGGATCCGGCTGGAAAACATTGCCAAGCGTCTCGATGTGGCGATCAAGGAGCCAAGCCCTTGGGAAGCATATCCTGTGGAAAGATGAGGATTCTGGAGAAGCGCCATCCCTCACTAAGCTAAGAGTGTGCAGGGACGAGTGGCATTTGGCAGCTCCTGTGTCGCTGTTGATCGGCAGTTGTCTCGCTCGGCCTAACAGCTAGAGATAAGTATAATGAAATACGGCGTGCCTTGCATCGCTTCCCTGGCATATTGGAGGGATCTACTCGCCTTCCTGAAGATTCCCCCTCTGTTCAGCATGGATTTCAAAAATTCTACTGAGAACAACGAGAAGGTTGATGCAAATTACAATGTTGTGCCCCTACGCGAGGCTATGTGCAAGACAGAGAGACGGTTGCGCAGGAAGATCGATATTTTTGTCGTACCTACCGTAATGCTGATGTACCTGATGTGCTTCATCGATCGAGCCAATATTGGTAAGCACGTTCCATTGTAGCTATGAGTCGATTGGCTGACAACGCGGGAGGAAATGCTCGTCTCGCTGGCTTCGAGAAAGACCTTAAGCTGAAGGGCTATGATTACAACACCGTCCTGTCTATTTTCTACGTGGGATACATTTTATTCGAAATACCGGCCACCATGTGCTGCAAGATCATGGGTATGACGTTCCAAGCCAATCGCTCTGCGAAAATCGCTAATTTTGGGTGTGTAGGTCCCGGCTGGTTCCTGCCCTTGGCCACCGTCGGCTTCGGAGCTTGCTCGATAGCGACTGCGTTTGTGAAAACTCGTGCTCAAGTATGCGCTGTGCGCTTTCTGCTCGGCATATTCGAGGCCGGCTTGATGCCTGGCTGCGCATATTATCTCTCGCGCTGGTATCGTCGCGCTGAGTACAGCTTCCGCCTAGGAATATTTTTCTCTACGGTTCCTCTCTCTGGCGCATTTGGCGGGCTCATAGCGTCAGGCATATTGAAGCTACCACATCTCGGGTCTTTGAAAGGGTGGCAAATGTAAGAGAGCTCTCGACTATATTTCTCGAGAAGTCGGTTAACTGAAAGCGTGCAGGATCTTCGCTATCGAAGGCATCATTACCGTTGCAATTGGTCTTCTCGCCTTCGTAACCATGACCGACCGTCCTGAGACTGCGCGCTGGCTCACAGAAGAACAAAAAGAGCTAGCAATCAACCGCGTCAAGTCCGAACGTCTAGCCCAAGCGGTCCTCCTCGACAGAATCGACGCCACGAAGCTGAAGCGCGGATTCACAAACCCAATCACCCTCGCTACATCGTTTATTTTCTTCCTCGGCAACGTCACCGTCCTGGGTATCTCGTTCTTCCTACCCACCATCATCAGGACCATTTACCCCAGTCGAACAACCATCGATCAACAGCTTCTCACAGTGCCGCCGTATATCGTTGGCGCTCTCCTTTTGCTCCTAATTTCTGGACTCAGTTGGCGATTCGACCACCGCCAGGCTTTCATCATCCTTACAGGACCGACGGTTTTCGCCGGTTATGCTATTTTCCTAGCGACAATTAATGCGAACATTCGCTATGCGGCGGTGTTTCTGTCGGCTAGTACGGCGTTTGCGCTGGGTGTTATGAGTAACGCACAAGTCGCGGCGAACGTTACGTCGGATTCGGCGCGGAATATCGCTCTTGGAACGAATGGTATGTGACACCCCTATCTCCTCTCTCATCACCAATGCTAACACACGACTCAACAGCTATTTTCGGCTACTGCGGAGCACTCCTTGCAACGTGGACCTATCTTCCATGGGATAGCCCGAAGTACATGCTTGGCAATGGCATTAATCTTGCTTGCGCTGCCACGTGGACGATTGTTGGTATCGGAGCGGCTGCGTGGATGGTGTACGACAATAAGAAACGTGATGAGAGGCAGGCGGCGGGTATGGAGGAGATTGTTGGGTTGTCGCAGTTGGAGATTCAGGATTTGGAGTTTAGGCATCCAGCATGGAGGTGGAAGCTATGAGGACGTACAAGTGGATAGATGTATCGTCGACAGAACGAAGAGGGTGTTTTGAGGGTAGCCATGAGTTGATTTACATGCTGACTTGTACTACATTCGTACATATGGTTGATTGATTGAATCTTACTCGGTTTCAGCCGCGTTATCCGCAGCTATGCCTGGATGCGGAGATTTTGGGAGACAGCTGAAGCTTTGCCGAACGAATCAGCGCACCGCACTCCACCTGTGGTCTGGCTTCTGTCTACAACTATGTACCTTTCGCTTCAAGAATTGGCGTGGACTGGCCAGGAAACCTATCGGTAACTGCATATTCTGCGTCGTGACTGCGGTGCTGAAACTTGTTTGGGCTGAGTCGTCGCATCACGTGTTGCTGTATCGCGACTAGATGGTCGCCGCTGCCCCCGGTGTTCCGTAGCTTGCTCGCTGGATTTCGGGCTCTCCCCCTGCCGTGGCCGTGGCGGTGACTCTACAGGTATCAAATCGACGCGGACGGACACGTGATGACGTGATGACCCGTAGACGCCGTTGCGACCACGGGGGTTAGGGTTAGTAAGCCTGGCCCCTGCCGAGCAATTGAGGCGCATCATCGAGGCGCCCGCCCTCAAAGTGCTGACGAGCATAGGGCCTGGCGTGCCGTTGCTCCCTGTCGCCGATGACGATCTCCCGCTCGCTCCGACCTTCTCTACCTGGTCTGCAATGGACCGCTCTGACAAACTCCCCGGTACAAAATGGTGCACCCGCGCCATGCTGGGCGACTGCGGATTTGATGTCAGTTGAACTTGGCGTCTACCTCTCAACAGATTCTCTAACGTACTCGTGCAGGGCAGTGTCCTTGGCTTTGCATTGATGGGTAGGAAAGCCGGTATTGCTGCAGCTTTCCAAAACTCCCTGTCCAATACCTTGAAAGGCCACGAAAAAGAGCTTGAAATAATATTCAACAGCTACAAGATCACGTCCGACGTTTCCGACGATGAGGCCTTGAGCGACGTCCTCGGATACGTTACCGATGTTCATTTATCCGGAGCAAAAGGATCCAATCCTTCTGCTCTTTCAGTTATGACGCCTTACATATCCGGTAACATCATTTCTATGCTCCAGTCATAGAGCTCGCCAAGGCACGGCCACACTCCGCATTTGTCTATCACTTCAATGAGCCGAACCCTTGGAACGGACCCAATAAGGGAGAAGCCAGCCATATCTTGGACGTGGCATTCTTGTTCCAGAACTTCAACGACCACCCAAGTGCTGAACAATAGAATATCGCGCGGCATTTCGCAAAAGATATTATAACTTTCGTGAATGGTGAAGAATCATACCCGAGGCTCGACCGGAAGACCGGGGGCGTCATAATCCGTGACCCGCCGGCGGACGCTGGGTTCAAGTTTGTGCAGTCCGAGAACGTGAGCGACTATGGCCGGAAAGGCTCAGTCTGAGATTTGTCGTTGTCGGTCGGACTGGACAAGTTACCAGAGGCATTGGACGTGTTAATGGCTGGCCGGTAGTCACTGGGGCGTGTTTTTCCATGTGAGCTAGCCCTGCTATCGTTTCCACATATGCGGATTTCTCTATATCTCAGCTCGAGATCAACGTTCGCAGCTCTAAGTATAATACAGAAGAGTCAACTACATACAGCTCCCTCGCTCTCAGACCTGACCTCTCGCCATATATGTGCTGTGTCAACCGCAAACTCCGATCATACACGGCGCTAACTCTCAACTCCTCCCACACGGAAGTGACTTCATTTGATACCCAAGCCAGAGGTGGCATTTTCTGCCCCCACGTGACATTGACGAATTTTGCACCCTCTGTTTGCATGTAAATAAGTGCTCAGACGGTACGACCGTTCATCCGATTGTAGTTCCCGGGTAGATGTGGGGTATTCTTTAGCAGCGCGCCTCGGTGGGTACCCCACATTACGCGCGTCACGCTGGCAGCCCCAACGTTGGTCAACCCCAGGTAAAGGGCCGGACGGCCGAGCAGCGCTACGTTGCTGGAGAGGCTGCACTCAATTGACTCGTACTGCAAGCTGGACAGCATAAAAATCACAATGACTAGCTACGAAGTACCCAAGGACTATAGCGCGCTCAAGGGCAAAACAATCCTGATCACGGGATGCGCTACAGGCATTGGCCGTGAGGCGGCAAAATTTGCATACGGTAAAGACCGTGGCGTGGGTGAAATGTATATCTGCTGATAGAGTCGGGGCCAGCGAACGGAGCAAACTTGGCCCTTGCGGACATCAATGAGAAGGATGCCAACGAGCTTGTCAAAGAGCTCGGGAATGACAGGTTTGTAGTCCCTCTGCGATTCGAACCAAGGACTGATATCTCGATTACATAGCCGGGTCCTTTTTCAGAAAGTGGACGTGTCGGACTGGGTGAGCTTCCGCAGCATCTTCGACGCTGCCATCGATAAGTTCGGCGTTATACATGCGGTGCTGTCAAACGCCGGCATGCACCATGAAGAGTTGCTCAAGGAAGAGTTCGATAGTGACGGCAAACTTGGAAAACCCAATCTCGCATCCATTGATATCAATCTGGTTAGCCACCTCTACGCGTCCAAGCTGGCCTTTCACTACTTCAAAAAGGGGCCACAAGGTCCACGCCAAATCGTCTACACCGGATCCGCTGCGTCCTATCTCGACACAGCTCCCCTCTACCAGTACGGTGCTGCGAAGACGGGAGTTCTTGGCTTGATGAGGGCGTTCCGGCTAACGGCGCAAAAAGTCAATGTGTCTGTCAACATGGTTGCTCCCTGGATGACTGGTGAGTCGTTAAGAACTGTTCATTTGAGTGGTCGCTGATCGGAAGCGAAGAAACAAACATGATGCCAAAATTTCTTGCGGATATATGGGGCGAGCTTCCAAGAAACACCCCACTTGGTGTCGGGAAGGCCCTGCTACTTCCTGTCATCAGGGAAGATCTCCATGGAAAATCCTTCTGGATTGGTGGAGATGCATTGGTAGAGTTGGAAGACAAGATACACGAGACCCAGCCATTGTGGATGGGAAGTGAGCTGAGCGCGGGCGTCAATGAAGGCAACCGTAGAATGCTTGTTCTAGCCACAAGCCCAGCAGATTCTATGGCAGGGAAATGAGGGGCTACATGGTCTTCTCCGCTAAAGGGAAATTGCTACGATCTATCACAATGACCAGTTATGTATTATCTGATGTACATCGACTCTTGCTAGCACTAGGAATATATAAGAGTCCCACCAAATGTTAAAGCCAATGCTCAATAGATGGGAAAGCTATTATACAGCAGAAACTAGTCTAACTGCCGAAGAGCATCTGGGTTGAGCTTTGATATCCATCCTCAACTTACGTGGCTTGATGTTCATCATTAGATTCTTCTGGTACGCGAACCAGAAAGTGGTAATCGTCCACGGCTGATCTTTGTTTACGAACTCGAAGTCGAAATTGCGTACGAACTGTCCCAGGAATTTGTGCAGTTCAGCCTGTGTGGCGGGTTGTTATTAGCGTAGTTCGTTGCGGAGAAGGCAAGAATGGTAATAATGCCTCAAAAAGAAACAGTAAGGTATTACTAACCAGCGCGATGTTGCGGCCAACACACATCCTCGGGCCACTGCCTCCAAATGTAATGGTAGCGCTTTCAAACAGCTTAGCCTTTTCCTCGTCCTCGAGCCATTGATCGGGTCGGAACTTATTGGCGTCTGGGCCCCAGATCTCCTTATCTCTATTTTGGGCGATGGGGCTGATCCCGATTGTTGTGCCCACGGGGATGTGTATGCCTCGGACCGTAAAGTTGGGCGGAGTATGTCGGAGGAGTTGGAAGACGATGGAAGGTAGCATTCTGGTAGCCTCTTTAACTGCGCCTGCAGGTATGGCATCTTCTGCGACTGGAGATACGTTAATGGGCTATCGAGCTTGTTGTCCTCGTAGAAGGCATCGACTTCTTTCTGCAACCTCCGGTAACAGTCAGGGTTTGACACTACATAGAACAGGTATGTTAGCATCCCTATGGACGTGGTATCTGCACCAGCACCGCTGCGATGGAAGTCAGATGTGTTGAGTAGACAACCTAGGGATGAAATGGGCACTCACATGAGATTCATTGCTTCAATGACTACCTCTTCGACTTTCACAGGGTTACCTTTTGCATCTTTCATCCGGCAGGAATGCTGAAGCATGTCTTCCCGCTTGACTTCGTCGACGTGGTCAAGTCGATCTTGTACCTGCTTGAAGGTCCTGTTGCGGAAGGGTAGCAATGGTGGCGCTCCGCCTAAAATGTCGAGCAGTTTAGCAGCCGCGGCGTTGTTCAAGATCCACAGTTGGTCTAGAAAATGCCCCATGCATGACAACAGCTTGAAGACATCGAAGATATTCTGCCTGAGGTTATTGACGTCGGTTTCAGTCTTCAGCATGTCCAGTTGGGATCCGTATCCCAGCTCGCCCACAACATCGAAAGCAAAGGCGTTAGTCCACTTCAACAAGTCCACAGGACCTCAATCTGCGTACATGTGCAGCTTCTCCAGCACGGTATCCAGACAGACCTGGATGTAATTTTCGTATTTGAGAATCGAGGACATGGAGTAGGCACCTGAAACGCGCTTCCGCAAGAAGCCGTGTTCCTTCTTATCCAGCGCCGAGAACAGTTGAGGCGCCGTCTGCGGAGGGTCCCAGACCGAGTACCACGGGGTCTTCAGGGCATTGTGGCCGTGGCTGTACAGGTTCTTCATCGCCCATTCATCGACCACTGAAACCTCGTTAGGGGTGATTGGGACGACACGTCCGTACTTTTCATGGATCGCGAGAATCTCCTCGTGCCATTTGCCACGGCGGTACCCAGCGTCGCGCCAGAGGCTGGTCAACTTTGCGAGGAATGGCCCAGGTACGTGAGCTAGAGAGTGGAGGAACACGCGGTAGAAGGCGACGAAGGCAATGAGTACAAAGACGGCTGCGACAACGGCGACGGAGGCGCTCTCGGTGTCTGCTTGGCTGCACGTCTGCTTGAGCTGAAGCCATGTTTGTTTGAAATGTAAGCGGCGAGTGGAAGTCCGCGCAGAGCAAGAAAAGTTCGCCAGAGAGGACTACGAAGCCATGTAAGAGATGATCTCAAGAATTCCCATTCGTTCCGAGCCATGCAGGGCATGGAAACCGTCTGCGCCGGAAGCCGAGCGCAATAGACGACCCCTAACGCCACATGGCTATGCTCGTTGTGCCAAACGTCGGTTGTATACGCAGGGATGCTTCGTTAATCGCGTCACACGACATTCGACGTCAGGACGATTCCCCCGCACGACAGCTAGCAAGAGGGATCCCTGTCCGGTCTTGACCTGAGGGGGACGCGGCTTGGGTCCAACTGATGGCTGAACGCGCAGGCTTTCCCAAACCGCTCTTAAAACACGACTTTCGTGATTCGTTCGCTGGGTTTGCCATCCAGGTGCCGTACCCATCGCGACTTTTTCAGATTTCGCATGTCGAGCGCATCGTCCGAAATGCCGTTCTCGTCGCAACTGCTGGCAATGATTCAACAGTCCCTGGCCGTGGTCGTTGCGATTACGACTGTTGCAGTCCTGGTTGCTGCAACTTTCGTGCAACGTTACCAGTTCAACAAGAAGTACAAGCTTCCTGTTAGGATTCCAGGGATACCTTTCTTTGGAAATTCTTTCCAACTACCACCGTTGCAGCAAGGCCCTTGGGCCAAGAAAATGGCCGAGAAGTATGGAGAGATGTACGTTTGCCGCCATGGTTGCGCAGACGACACCATTGATGATGATCGAGTAGGTTCACGTGCAAGTTCGGAAGCGCCACTTGGGTCTTCTTGAACTCGTCGCGCACCGTCAACGACCTTTTGGAACGCCGTGCGGCAATTTACAGTTCGAGGCCTGATTTTCCCATGACGCAAGACATCATCTCGCGTGGCTCGCGAATCGTGCTCATGCCATACAATGACAGGTGGAGGATGCTCAGAAAGATTATGCACAACGTCCTGATGGCGCGTCAGCAAGACGTCTTCATGCCGTTTCAAGACCTGGAATCGAAGCATCTACTGTGGAATTACCTCGAGAAGCCGGACCGATGGTGGTCGGCGAACGGCCGTTACGCGAACTCGGTCATCATGAGCGTCGTCTTTGGTCGCCGGTCCATGCTAGATGATCCAGACGTTGTCGAGCTATTTGAGACAATAGAGCTCTTTTTGGAAAACCAGCAACCCGGAGTCAACATTGTAGACGGCTTCAACTTTCTGAAGAACCTCCCTAAAGGGTTACAGTGGTGGCGCCCACGAGGAGAAGCAATTTTCCACAAGACCTTCAAGTATGTGAGAATCTTTGGCTTTTATGTACTGCGATGCTGACTTCCCTTCCAGAGTCTACAAGCGCGAGCTGGAAAAGTGTCAAGCAAAACTCGAGGCCGGCACCCAGCGCGAGTGTTTTGCAACAGATTTCTTCAAGAGCGAAGAATACCAGAAGATGGATGAGACGCAAAGACTGTTTACTCTAGGTTCTCTCATGGAAGCGGGTAGCGATACGTCCCGTGTGACCATTGGCCAGATCATCGCTGGGGCAGCAACGTATCCTGACTGGGTAGCACGGGCTCGAGAACATCTGGATGCGCTCTGTGGCCGCAATGCCGAGCGGCTGCCCCAATTCAGCGACAAGCCCAACCTGAAGTACATATGCGCCGTCGTCAAGGAGGGCTTTCGATGGAGACCAAACATCGCGGAAATCGGCGCGCCACACATGCTGATCAAAGACGACGAGTACGAGGGGTATCGCTTTCCTGCTGGGACTGTCTTCACTTGGAATGCCTGGTCAATCGCGCTGGACCCGAAGGAATACCCAGAGCCGGAGCGTTTCTGGCCCGAACGATTCATGAACGATGATGTAGAGAATGCGCTGAAGGGGCATTGGGCATTTGGACCAGGTCAGTACCCCCATGGCTCTCTCATTTGCTTCTCAAGTCATCTAACCTTGACATCCAGGCCGTAGAGTCTGTGCGGGCTGGAAAGTTGGAGAGATGAATGTATGGATTGCGATTGCCCGTCTCCTGTACTGCTTTGATTTCGAGCATATTCCAGGGCAAGAGATAGACACGATGACGATACCACAGATCACAAAGCAGAAGGCACCTTTTGCAGTGAAGGTGAAGGCGAGGAGCAAGGCGCATGCGGATCTCATCCGTAGAGAGTGCGTAGATGTTATCAATATCGTCTACTAGCAAAAGGCCTTTCGTCGCAGAGAGAATGAGGGAACGAAAGGCATATATGAGGACGAGGCCTCTAACAAACGATTTTACCAGTGTGAGTCCTTGCGATGGGTGATGTCTTGTGTTTGGCCGCTCTACTAGATAGGGACTTGATGTAATGTAGATGCTTAGGGCTAGTTTACTGCTCTTGCTCTGCATAATGATCCTGTCTTGTCTACTCGCAACAGTGCCTGAACGCCCTCATAGACAGGCGTGCGTACCGCGCATTCAAAGAGCCGATGACATTGCAAAAGCAACCTTGGATAACATGACATGCGGACTTGTAATAATTCCTTGCCATTAGCAGCTGATCTCTACTTCAAAGATAATGCTGCTGAGACACGAATCCGGAGCGGTAATGGTTAAATAGATTTTAAAAGTAGAGATGAGGCAAGTTGATTCTGATAGATACGAAAGCACTACCTATTCCAAGTCCAAAACAACCAGTCCTTTCACCAAGAGACCAGCCACCCGCATGCACCGAGATAACCATTTCTTCAGTCCCTGCCTCTTCACTTGGATCTGTAATGTTGGGTGAAATCGTACGTGATCACGTTGATACCACCGATGAGCTCCTTCATCTTGGTGGGATCATCCTTGACGCCGTTGATCATCTGTAGGCTCTCATCTCGCTGCGATACCGTGCTCGGGTCCTTGTCAAACATGCGGAGAAGGTTGGCACTCGATATGGGATCGATAAACTGCGAATATTTCTCGCGTCGCACTTTCGAGTAGATGTCGAGAATGCTGTTATCCGCTTTGCCCTCGTACAGCCCGATCAAGCAGTCGGCTAGCCCGCCGACGTCCACGATCCCACCCGTGAGACCGAGGCCGCCAAACGGGTTGCAAACTGTGAAGCTGTCAGCTCTGCCCAACCTTTTCCCATGATCGACGTGTACTCACGGTGAGCGGCATCCGCTGCGAGGACAAACGGGCCCACTCTCATCGACTCTGCTAGTCTTTGGTGTACTTTGTAGGGACTGAAGTTGGTGATGCGATAGTCCTCGGGAGAAGGGTTCCCAGGAAGCATATTCCTCCACTTCTCGTCCCGCTGCTCCAATAGCTCTTCTTTGGTCAGGCTGGCGGGCACACCATAGCTGACACGCCACATTCCATCCCTGGTGATCCTGGCAGCCATGTACCAATGTTCGGGATCGATAATAAAATTGGCATCTTCGTAGCCGAACTTGTAAAAGTCGTAATAGGCCTGACCAACATCCGTTAGCATCTGGAGTGACAGTCCGAGCTACCAAGCACGGTACCTAGGTACTGACATTAGTTGCCACAACCTGTGTGTCCCACGTCTTCCCCGGGAATTCCCAGTCGCCGAACAACAGCCGCCGAACCTTGCTGTTGGCGCCGTCGCATCCAACAACGTAACGGGCACGAAGCTCTTTTGAACCATCGGGGGCGGTGACAGTGACGACTCCTGTCCCGTTGTCGTCCTTGATATCGGTAACTTCATGGTTCCAGAGTATGGTGGCATTCGGATGCTTTTGGAGGTGCGAGAGCAGAATCTGACCGAGCTGGTTCAAAGGCAGACAAACAAGCCTATCTGGATCATCGGATACGCCGGTGTGATCTATGGTGGCCAGGACCTTGTTGTCAAAAGTCCTAAAAGTAAGCTTCTCAGGGAAGAAGCCTTTGGCGGCGATGTCGTCCATGACGCCTGCTCGGCGCAACACGCTCACGGCTGGCCCAGCATAGTGAGTTGCTCGCGGCTGCTTGTCTAGCGTATCTGCTTTCTCAACCAGGGTTACAGGTATCTTGTTCTGCGCAAGAATCAGACTCAGTAGAAGACCTGCAGGCCCTGAGCCAACGACGGTGACGTATGGTTCCTGAGATGACATGAGTTGCTTGTGGTCAAACGGTACTGTATCTGTTTGAAGCTTAGCTCGCTTTCACGCCTCAGCTGCGACACGTCTCACTCAAATACTGCACACGGGGCCCGGAGAATCGTCTCATCAAGGACAACATGAACCCGGACGGAAATTCGTAGGCTCCCGCCCGTCGAGAAAGAACACCTTTCTCCCGGACGACGGGTCACGCAGCGATGGCCTGGTTCCTGGGTCCAGTTCCCCACCCTGTACTTGTCCCACACAGTCTACCCCGCACATTTCGTAAAGCTAGCTGTAGACGCCTGATACCAGCGTGATGGCGGAAAAAATGGAGGTCAACGTCGCTCTACCGTTCGCTACGTATTGTTCGCTCTTGGTTGGTGTTGTCATTTGTTGTGCGGTCACCGATGCAGATGGCAGCGTTGCAGCACAATTCGCTAGGCGCCAAGCTCAAGGGCCTCACCGTGGCCCAAGGTGAGGTATGGCAGTTCAAGGGCCTATAATATGCAAGCATACCAGCTCGGGTTGCGAAACCGGCGGCTCCACCGCCCTTGTCAGCCTCATCCGCAACAGTGGAATGCACTTTGTACGGGGAAGAGATACAGTGTGCACTAAGCCAGTCTGAGTCCGCACCTCATACTCCTCAGTCCACGATGTCCACAAAACTATGTCGATTTTCGCCATTTACTACAGATACCAGAGGAGTTCGAGGTACAGGACGCGCCAGAGACGAACTCGGCTGCTTGAATCTGAACGTCACGTTGTTTGCGCTGTCCAAAACCAAGTCGCCCAGGCCGCTCTACCCCGTGCTTGATTGATTGATTGATTTCTCTCGTTTTAAGTCACCAACCTATAGAGGTTATGCTGACTACGCCTACGCACAAAAGGACTCAAAAGACGCCAAAATTAAGAGAAGGGAACAGTACCCCGTGCTTGTCTGGATACATGGACACGTGCGCTTCGGTGTTGAGATGTGCACGAGCTCATGGGGATTACCAGAGAGGTTCGCGGCAGGTCGAACAAGCAAGGGACTCTTGATCACAGCCACATACACACTCCCCTATAGCATAGCACTTTTACTGTCCGTCGCGACCATCAAGAACCCACGATCTCGGCTAGTCCAAGGTGCCTATCACAACTCCACGCTCTAGTGGGTTACTTTCGCTGCGTTAGAGAGTGAGGAGCTTGTGGGGAAACCACATAGATGTGGGGTAAGCTTGGTGGGGTAGCGCTTTCCCTGTCTGCTGGGTCTGCAAGGTTTCATCCTCCTCCCTAAAATATCAGATCATTTGCAAGGTCACAGTCATGCTTCTCGCAATCAAACTTATGAGCCTCGTACTTCAATATGGCTTGGGGGATACTAGAACCTAAATCACGTCCGGCGCATGTACCAGCTACGGTGCTGCTGGAGGACACTCCAGAAGTTGCCGCCCACCATGAACACCTCAAGAAGATTACCCACCGGGGCGAGACCATTATCCTGGTTCCACAACCGTCAGATGACCCCAACGATCCGTTGAATTGGTCTTTGTTGCAAAGGGATCTCATTTTTCTCCTCTATGCAACCTGCACCATCCTTACCATTGGCGGGTATGTGCTCCACTCCAACTAAAAGAATCACGCTGAACCGGCCCTTAGTATTGGCCCTATCATATCCCCAATTGCTTATGAGCTCACTGTTCTCTTCAACGTGTCTTTCACGAAAGTCTCGCTCCTCACCGGCTACAGCCTGCTTGCCACTGCATGCTTCGGTATTGTTGTGTCGCCTACAGCACGTAAATATGGGAGGAGATTCCCCTTGATCTTCTCCATGTGCTGTGCATTTGCCGGCTGTCTTTGGGGAGGTTATGCGGAGTCTTACAACTCTCTCCTAGGCGCCCGCATCGTCCAAGGGCTTTGTGTCTGCATGTTTGAATCTCTCAACTTTGTCATCGTCGGAGATCTATACTATGTCCACGAGCGTGGCATCCGTGTCGCCTTGGTTACCACATCCATCATTGGGGTCGGTGCTCTGCCACCAGTGGTCTCGGGCAAGGTTGCCACAGACCTGGGTTGGAGGTGGATCTTCTGGCTCCTTGCGATATTCATGGGCCTTGCACTCGTTGGCACTGTATTTTTCGGCTTCGAGACTGCGTACAATCGCAAAGCCATTTACAACACCGACATGGCCTCTCAAGATGTATGGCACTCTCTTTCGTCGGAAGCGTTTGCGCATGATCGAGCTGACCGTTTCCCGCCAGGATCTTGACCGTCTGGATGGAAAACAGAGGGTACGAAAAGATGAGCATGATGGAAAAGGCGATGATATTGCCAAAACGGAAACTGTGGCGAGCAGCAGGATACCGCGAAAGACGTATCTTGGTCGATTGAAGCCATGGTCTGGTTCTTATTCGCCGGCACCCTTCTGGAGACTCACCATTCAGCCTTTCCTGATCCTCTGGAATCCCGTCGCGGTATGGGCTGTTGTACTCTTCGCATTCCCTGTCTTCTGGCTTGTCGCTTTCAACTTGCTCATCGCTCAAATCTTTTCAGCACCACCCTACCTGCTCAATACGGCAGAGCTCGGCTACATGTCTGCGGGCGCCGTTGTTGGTGGCATATTGAGCTCAATGCTCTGCGCTGCCGTCTCCGACCCAATGATCGAGTTCTTCGCACGCAGAAATGGAGGCATTTACGAGCCCGAGTTCCGGTTGTTCTTGATCATCCCGGCATTGATCCTCACAATCGTGGCGTACTTTCCGTTTGGGTACATGATTAGGGACGGCAAGAGCCCTGCGGCAATTTCTACCATGTATGGCGTTGCCACCGCCGCGGGGCAAACATGCATGGCAGTGGTGGGAGCCTATGCTGTAGATGGCTATCGCGACATCAGTGTCGAGATATTCGTCTTGACCATGATCATCAAGAACTTCCTGTTCTACGGCTTCTCCTGTAAGCCTGGCTATTTGGCAAGCGCCAAGTTTCTCGAGCGGAAAAGGTGCTAACGTCTCTTGCAGACTTCATTAATGACTGGATTGCGCGCTGGGGCACTGTCAAGTTCTTCTGCACGGTCGGTGCGATCCAGGCGGCTACGTGCTTGACCACAGTCCCGTTGTATGTGTTTGGGAAGAAGCTCCGCTTCTGGTGGCACAGTTCGCGCGTGAACGCCTAGTGGGGGCGGGATGCAGATGGACGGTGGCGACAGGTGGTGGCGGTCTCGTAGTTGTTAGCAGACAGTGTACACACGCTTCTTGAGAAGAGGAATTTCGTACCCGCCCTCAACCTCATCCTCATCGGGGGCCAGCAGCATGTGACGAAAAGCCTACGGCCCGGGCGCGCCAATGACCCAAAATTCGGCGTTCGGCCTGGTGATTGGCTCGCCTCCGCGGCCAATGAGAAGGCCCGCCCCGCTGGACGTCGGTCGTCGGATGGGGGGATCCCCGGATTTGCGCCCGACCCCGCATTGCCTTCTCGCATCTTGCGCCCTCGGTCCCCAACAGGCAGTCCTGCACTCTTCTCTCCTGGGCCCGTCTCCGTCGTCTCTCGCACCACCCCAATCCGTCTTGAACATGCTACACATGTCCGTCCACGCCTTTCCTGTGCAACACAGCCCTCTCGGCAGCGGTGTTGGCGGGGCCCCAGCCCATTCCAACGTGTCCAACGGCCCGAAGCCAACCCACCCGATCAAGTGTTCGGTATGCCCCAAGGTCTTCAAGAGAAGCGAGCACTGCGCGCGCCACGAGCTCTCGCATACCAACGAACGGCCGTTTGCTTGTCAGTTCTGCCACAGGACCTATGCGCGCAAGTACATCTCACCGCGAATCCCTCCCCTACGCCGCTCATTTCGTTGCAGGGACCTCGTCAAAAGACATGAGAAAACGATACATGCCGACCTTTACAATGCACTTGTGAATTCGCGTCGCCCCAAACAGAATGAACGCACCTATAACCCCAACGCGCTGAATGCGCAAGCTCCCCCTGTCCTCCAGACCAATACTAGTCCGGCACAGCTAGGCCACGATACTGCCACCATCACAGAGCTTGCCGCCTCTGATGATAACACCGTCCAGGCTCACAATGAACCGACAACTACCTCGAGGAGAGCCTCGTTTTCTGGCGGCGCGGACACAATCAGAGCCGATGCGGTTACGTCGCCACCTCGTGCCCCTTCGATACCTCCTTTCCTGCCCAATAATGCCATCGCACTCGGCAATGCTGCTGCCGCATCTCCGGTCACACATCGAGGCACATCATCCATATCGGCAATGGATGCAAGGATCTCAGGTCCGTCACCGCCAAGTTCTCCAGTGCCAGGTAATGAACAGTACGATTTCAGCATCGGCAACCTCTTGATGGCGTCCCCATCTGATGCACTGTCGAGTTCGGGTAACCATGTCGATGTGTTCCATTTCGGGCAGCCATGTAACAAGCGCCAGCGGCTGTCTGATGGCGGTCCATCGATGCCATCCGTCCAGAATGACCAATCCTTCTCAATGTCCGCTCCCTCGCCGATGTCGTCGGGAGACGCCGCAAACCTGCTTCTTCCCCCGGATCTCATGGATACCGACCTTATGATGGGAAGGGTCAGTAACGAGTTCTTCTTCCACCAAATCGCACAGCAACGCGATTAGTTCCTCGATACAAATGGAGCTACAGGCGACCTCCTTGGCGACTCGGATACCTCCGGGGTTATATTTCCAGGGCGTACCACCAGCTCACCGTCAGGACACTTCTCGGACTCTATCAGCGATAGCGGAACGGAGAAGCCTGATCGACTACGCCTGCCGAGGATCTTGAAGGAGAAGTCTGAGAATCCCCCTCGGTTAGCCGTTGATGAGGCTGCTTTTCAAGCATTATCTGCTGATATCAGGCAACGACTTGGCAACGATGAGGTGAAGCTTCCTCTTAACAATCGCCGGGAGCTCCAGCATTTTTTGAATGGCTACCTTGATTGTTTTCATCGACATCTGCCCATTCTGCACTTGGCAACTCTCGATGTGTCACAAACACCCAGTCCCTTGGTCCTTGCCATGTGTTGCATCGGAGCGCTCTACCGACTGGATCGGCAGAAGGCTCGGAACATTTACCTCATGGCCGCTAAAATCTCAGAGACGATTTCCACAGCATGTTCTTATCCTTCACCGCTCACTTCACATTCCTCCCTTTCTCTCGAGGATCGAGATGCCGGTAAAGCAGCGAGCACTAAGCCCCTGTGGTTGATGCAAGCACGCATCCTACTGCTGCTCTATGCTGCGCTTGGCAACGACAGCGCCATTATGCAGTCTGAGCTTTGGAGAATGGGCGTGTTCATTACCGTAACTATCGTTTATACCGTTGCTCGTAACAGCACTAACGTCAACTTAGGAGTATCGCGCTCGACGATCTGCGCTCAAAGCCAAAAGTTGTCACCATCCAGAGCTCCGATGGCATGAATGGATCGAAATCGAGGCAACCAAAAGGTTTCTCTGCGCCATGTTCATTTGCAGTAGCCTGCTTGTACTAGTATATGACATCGCTCCTGGGGTCGGCATCACGCAGGATCTAGAATTCGAATTGCTCGAAGAAGAAAAGCTATGGAATGCCGCTAATGCCGAAGATTGGCGAGCTCTTCGAGAGTCTGCATCACCATCGCCCCCAAGGACCATACGGAGTGTCATGGGAGACATGCTCGCAGGCAAGACCAACGACAACATCGATGGTTCTCTGTACTACGTCTCTGGATTTACAACGCTCCTGATTATCCACGGGCTAAACTTGTACGCTTGGAATCTCAGCCAGTTCAGTCACGTATATATTTCGCCGTTTTCCGATCTCTCAGGCGTGGCATCAAACACTTTACTCACGAATGCCTTGTTGACGTTCGCGAGGTGTAGCGAAGTTCTACAACTTGCAAGACCAGAAGGCATCGAGTCTCTCTGGAATAACCCCGAAGGACCGCTACTACTGAATTGCGAGGCAATGCTACGTGTGGCATACACACGAATGTTTCTTAGTGCGAGCATGCCTGAAGGCCTCGTACTGCTTTCCAACCCATCAGACGAGAACGTTCGACTGCTGGCCAACTTCGTCGCCGCCCCACAGGAACGCACACCACTTATCACCAAGGTAATGACGAGCATGTGCGAAGCATTTTCCGTGCCATCAAAAGCAGGCTATCTGCTTGTGCAAAAGACTGCGGCAATCAACTGGAGCGTTGAGCATTACGTGAAGTAGTAACTATATCCAGCTACACAGGTGTATCGCAGAGTAAGCTTTTAATTAGTTAACAGCGTATTAAGACGCGCTAAAACGATCGTGCGACACCTTAGTTATGTGCTCGATTACGTGCCTGGCCGTATATAGACAAGCTCTTAAGCAGAGTTTTCTCGACAATAGAACTGTTCTTTAGCTATCAATCCGCGCTCCGCCACACTTTTCTATTCTGGATTTAGACAAGTCTTCAGCCTTTCTAATATTCAGTCTTCAGGCCATCCAAAGACCACGGCGCTGTTTTCTTGAGCCCGTGCGTAGTCCCCTGATTCTTCGTTCAAGGCTCGCAGCACTACGCATCTGCAGCCCAGGTTGCCGCAGTCCCCTAAAGTTCTGCTAGACCGTTTTAACTTCTCTTTGATGCCCTCCAACGTGGCGTTCTCTCTGTTGCTCCAGTCATCATCAGCAATTTCCTGAAGACAGTCTACCTTTGCTGCAAGGTAGCAATGATTTCTGGGAAGAGACTCTCTGGCGCAGTTCCCTGCGCCAGCCGGCCGGATGACCTCCCCAAAGCCGTCGCAAAAGATAACCCATGAGTGCTTCACAATGAGTTCCCACCCGCCGCTGGATTTTGCAAGAACCATTTTGCGAGTTTGGATGGTCCTTTCATTATCCGCTAATACCAATTCCCTGAAATCGACCCCTCGTGTCTTGCCTCGACGCCGCCTTTTCCTCTCCAATGTTTCCGTCATTATGTTGAGAACGGTGGCCAGGCCCACGACGAACGCTTTGAGCGGCCTTCCTCCAACTATTGTTTCCTTCTCAGCTTCCAGTATTTCCCTTTTTCTCTGTGTCGTCTCCGCGTACGGGTCGGCGATAGGATTATTCTGGTGCCTGAGCCGCGCAATAACCGCGTGGTGGAGGAAGTCCAGTCGACCCACCATCCAGCCTCGTCTCTCGTTCTCATTAGTGTCGTACAAGACAGCGGTTCTTCTCTCTGCGCGATCAATCACATGGTTGAAATCAGCGTCCCCGTCAAGATTGAACCGTATCCTCTCCCCTCCCCAACGTTGGAATTGTTGTGTAATGTTGAAAATAAACAGAAAAACTCTGAAGCCGCCTTGTAAACCACCCTGTATTTGCGTGTTGTCGCTGAACCAAAGAGGTTTCGCCTCGGCCGCCGAAGCAGTGAGGCTGTAGGATGCTCTGTCAGTGCTCAAGAGAGTTTGAACCGGAATTGTCGAGCTATTCCAGCCAAGGAATGCCTTTTCCGTTCGAAGATCATCCATGTTCAGGATGACCCAATCCTTTTGCCTCTCTAGGGCTGAGACCAATCCGCTCTTGCTGCTCTCCCAAAGCTCCAAGTGCCACTGTATGCCTGCCTCGAGTTGCTTGACGGGAATGAGCAGCGTTGAATGGCCAACCAGCACTGTGAAGTGGCCGATCTCAAGTCGGACCACAATGCCAGCGAGATATGCCATATCATCGAACGACAACTCCAGCCCCCTGCCTTCTTCTCTGCTGGATGCATAATGTGCGGTCGTGGAAGGCGCCGTCGTGATAACCGCAGCCTTGAAAAGCTCGTGCCAGCAGTCCGCATTACTGGCGGCCACAGCTTTTAGAGGTAGAAGCTGGATATTGCCGTCGTCGTGGAGCTGCACATCAGACAGCATCACACCTTCACGAGGCCGGACCCTCACTGCTGCACAGAGCCACGCAACTGCGTCGACAGCAGCCGCCACAAACTTGTCGCTTCCCCGAACCTGTATCTTGGCCTCCGTCTTGGATGCCAACATTTTTATTTCGCATGCCCCGTCTGCAAAGAGTCAGCTCACCTTAATTAGAACTGCCACATCTCGGGATACCTGGGCGACATACAGCTCTTGGTAGTCCAAACCTGGGGTGATGGTGCCTCTGAAGTTCCGCCCTCAACCATGTGCTTGACAGCGTCTGCAACGGCGGCAAGAATGTACGAGAATATCTCGGGCCAGTGCTGAGACATATATTCCTCGCAGGTGTATGGCCGGCAGTTACCAACGGAGCCGACTAGGGTAAGAGTCGCGCCGAGCAGTTCACGGCTTACGGTGCGCTCTTTGGAGCCTTTCAATATCACCTTGGGGAGCTCCCAGTCGGCTGAGAAACTGACTTGTCTTCTTGCAAGATTCTCCAAAACCTCGTCATGTATCCGAGAATGCCCCGAGTCTGGTTGACGCTGCCGATAGGACCGAGAATCTGTGCCGCCGGCTTTATCGGTTTTGCTGTCGCGTTTGTCGAGTTGGACTCCGACCGCATCACTCTTTTGGCGGTCAAGCAGATATTTCAATGTTTCAAAGTCGATGGGCGATACGATTTGGACGGCCCGACCAGAGAGTCTGTTATTCTGGATGTTGACACGGCGGTTCATCCCCTTGTCTTCCCCAACTTGCCCAAGTACCTGGATAGCCTCGCCTTCAACACAGTTATTCATGATGTCGTAGTGAATAGTTTCGTCATCAAGACGAGAACCTGCAGCAGCTTTTGGATCCGTGGCACCGGCTGCTTCCTCGCTTAGAGAGGCACCTTCGGCTTTGCTCGGAGGCACCAAGCCGTCATCTACTAATGTCAGCATGTAACGATATCCGGCAGTTACATGAGACGAGCCTTGCGGTGTCCGGCCCTCTCCAATGACTTGCAGAAGAAGACGATCAATTCGATGAATGACATCAGCATTGGCAAGAACAGTGCCGGCAGTCTTGGAGGTCAATCCGACAACGGCAAGCTGGATACGCAGGCAGATATTGGATTTTGCATGATCGAGCTCCTTCATGATATCCGCAAGTATCTTCTCATCTTTCGACTCACGCACGAGCTGTTGGGCTAGTTGATGCACCGAACCTTTACCTCCCCGATCAAGTGTCTTCAAGTGCTGCACAAGCTTTGCCCCAACCGCTTGGAGCTTGGCCAGTTCTGGGACCAGGTCTGTTGTCTGCAACGCATCTTCATCCTCGATCATGTGGACAATGGCAAGTAAGTTTGTGAGCTCGACAGTGTGCTTGTTGAGAGCCTCTGTAAGGCTCTGCTCGTGTTCGTAGGCCTTGCGAACTCGTTTGAATTCGCGGATTGCAGTTTCCAACAATCCAGAAGCCGCAATAGCAACCCCCAAAAGATCGGCCTGAACACGCTAATTAGCGATAGTTTTACTCGCAGGACGGCTGAAGAACGTCACCATAGTGTCTGATGCCTTATAGTAGGTGCCAACTTGTACGAACAGTCGAGAAGCCGTGACGGTGTTTCAAGGTTGTAAAGTGGTGCACACCCCTCATTATGTGGGGTTGCCTTTCCATTAGGTTCCATGGGGTTCCATCTGGCGCCACATTCAGAAACCACGGATTCTTATTCGTGACGGCTTCGGGACGCATGAGTCGCTCGAGGTCATGGAGTATTGTTTCGAAACAGTATCACTCCTTTGCCGTATTCCTTCGCACACCTCCCATAACCTGCAGCCGTGTGATGTCGGAGTCTCCGGCCCGTTGAAGGCTGCATACCGCGAACAAGTCGAAAACCTGTGCCGAGGAGGCGCGAATACATCTGGCAAGCAGCGTTTTACGTCTCTTTATAGCCGTGCGCGTAAGCGGGCACTTGCCTCTTAAAACGTTATATCTAGCTAGTCTAAGCCCGATTCTTAGTAGAAAAGTAACAGTCTGCCGCGCTTACTGTAGAGGCGCACAGCCACCCTATAAGCGCTGCGATAAGAGGCAGCTACTAAAATTTAGCCGAGGAAAACTACTTTCTGTATAGAGGAACATTAGTAATTCTAATAACGTACTTCACAAGCGAGCTGGCCACACAAGCGAGTTGGCTACTTTCTCTTGGCAAGGAAAATCAACGAAAATTAACTTGTTTTTCTTAAATAACTAAGCGAAACCTTAATATTTTTCTATAAGAGTTTCTATATATATTCTCTATAGTATATTACACCTTATACTAAAGTTACACTATAATATATTACGTAATTAAAAGCTATAATATACTTTATTATCGAACCGACTATATTATTAAGCCGACTACTTTCTCTTAGCAACGAAAATTAACGAAAATTAACCCGTTTTTCTTAAATAACTAAGCGAAACCTTAATATCTTTCTATAAAAATATATATATATATTCTTTATAGTATATTACACCTTATATTAAAGTTATACTAAGATATATTATATAATTAAAAAGCTATATATATTAAACTAACTTTTAAGAAAAATCTAGTTTACTTCTAGAAATTACTATTATATCTCTATAATAATCTATAAAACTTATAGTATATAGTATCTTTAATATAGTAAAGGTTTTTAGAAAACTTCTATAGAGCTAGCTCTTCTAGGTATAGCGTAATAAGAGATAGAAGTTTAAAAAAATCTTTTTAGAGTTTTCTTCTCTAACTATAGATATATATAAGTAATCTAGCTATATAAAGTTATATATTATAAGATTATATATACTATAAGCCTGCTATATATTTAGAAGTAATAATTTTAAAATAGTTTTAGTATTTTTCTATCTTTCTATACTATACTACTTGTAATAGTCTAGTTTAGAATTTACCTTAGGTTATATAACCTTAGGTTACGTAATCCTATTACGTAACCTAGCCTAGCGCCTTAGCGCTTAGCACCTCTGTATATAGAGAGCTCTTAGAGTATTCTTCTACTTCTTACCTTTAGATAGCTAAATTTAACCTAACCTACTCTACTAGCACTCTATTCTTATAGCTTATAGAGATAGTACTACCTATAGCTAACTTACCTAGCTAGATATTCTAGAATACTTATAGTAGTAGAGACTACAGACCTAGCCCTTATATTATCTAAAGGTTAATACCTCTTTAGCTAGAGACGATAGTATAATATCTAGCTAAACTAAGTAGCCTTATTAAGAAGCGTTTACTAATAGCTAATACTAAGAATTAGAGCTATAAGAGCCTAGTTACTTACCTAGAAAAATATAGCAACAAAAGAACTAATTACTTATCTCTTTAGCACTATATAAGACTACTAGCAGATCTAGTTAGTAGTAGAAAGATACTAGTACTAAGCTAAAGAGAGCTATTAAAAGCTCTATATATAGAAGAACTTTTATAGAACTTCTATATATAGAAACTCTCTTCTCTCTCTTTATAAATTACGAAAAATTAACAATTCTCTACTCTACTAGTAGAGCTAATAACTAGCTACTCTGCTAGTAGCTAAATATCTCCCCTCTTCGCTTCTTTCTTAATTAAAAAGCTAAACAAATCTAAACACTATAGAAGAACTCTTGCGAAGCTAATCTAGAGGTAGAATCTTAGCCTTATAATACCTCTTTACTCTAATAGTTCTTAAATTTAGAGTAGTAAACCTACTAGTAGAATATACTAATTAATATTTTTATTAGAAAAATCTTGTTTAGCAACATAACGTAATAACTAATAAGAATTAGAATAATAACTTTAACTAGAAGCTTGTAAGGCTCTACTAGAGCTTAGTAATACTAGAGCTATTATTAGCCTTAGATTTATTTATACTCTCTACCTCTACTAAAGAGCTTTAAGAGCTCTTTCTAGAAATACTAGCTAAAATTATTAATAAAATAGTTAGCTAATTATATATATAATAAGTATATAAATAA